TACCCCACTCAAAAAAAAAAAAACATTGTTCCTGGTCAGTTGGAATGAAGTTATAGGATAAAATTAGGCCAAGATCAATCTAGAACCTGTTGTTGTGGGTTTGCTAAACACATCTAAGATCTACATTCTCTATAATAATTTGAGCGTAGATACTAGCAACAGATTTGAGGAACATTAATTTCTACGTTTATGTACTCAGGTTTCAAGGAGGTGAAGACTGCATGCTGTGGATCTGGGAAATTTAACGGCGAGGGTGCATGCATGCCCAATGCTACTTATTGTTCTGACCGCCGAGGTTACCTATTTTGGGACATGCTACATCCAACACATGCTACATCCAAGTTAGCAGGCTTTGCGATCTACCATGGGTCACTGCAGTTTGCTGCACCTATTAATATTAGGCAGTTGGTTGAGGCTAGTAACTGAAGAAGGTAGCTCATGTACTTAAACATGTACTTAGTGCTGTTTGTGGATTTTGGGTGAGGTAGTGCTTGTTGTATTTCTGTAAAAAAAGATTTTAGAGATTACTTATTGTATTTTAGTCTTTATTGTTGTCGATATGTATGTGTTATTTTTTTCATTTCTTGCTGAAGTAAGAAAGGGCGTACGAGTTAGATGTTGTTAACTTGGGTATTTAATGCAGCGCGTAAGTTAAAATCTTTGGAATCCATCAGGTGTTGACATGTTGTTTTCTGAATCCACAAAAAACTATTTTCGAATTCACGAAGAACTTTGAATCCACGAAGAAACTATTAAAGAGAAATTTTATTGATAAAATAGGTTATGCATTGCTTACAATACTCTGCTTAAATGGAAAATAAACAAAACTACTACTATGATTCGAAGTTTGTCAAAAATAGAAATAACTACTACTATGATTTGAAGTTTGTCAAAAATAGAAATAACAAAACTCTCCTTAAAAGACTCCTTAGGATTAGGGAAGTAAATTAGTCAAATTTGGAATCAAATCGGATTTGCTTCCTAATCAAAATAGACTCATAAAACATTACCTAAAATAGTAAAAATTGATAAAAACTCTGATATCTCTCAATCCGGAGGGAATTTTACTAAACAGTGTGGAGAAATCAGAAAAACCAGATTTTCTGGCATAAGTCGACTCATGCACAAGGCTAAGTCGACTTATGGTAAGTCGACTTGTCAGTGGTGCACGAGTCGACTTACGATCTGCACTGGAGTTATGTTTTTTCGCTCTGCCAAGTCGACTTATCAGACCTGATAAGTCGACTTATGAAGTGGTCTCCAGTTGCTGTTTTTCTCTCTGCCAAGTTGACTTGTGGTGACTGTTAAGTCGACTTACGACGGGTATTTTGCATAATCAGGTTTCCTGTTTGCACTCTGATTGGGTTTTTGTTTTGATATAAATAGGGAAACGATTTGTTAGGGTTTTTTGATCAGAGATTGAGGAATCTTTTGAGCATTGTGAGAGGGAGATATTGTGAGCAATGTGAGATCTTTGGTTGAGGGTTAGTTTGAGAGTTTTGTGTGATTGTAACCCTTTGTACTCTCCTTGAATTAGTAAAATCTCCCCATCCTCTCCCCGTGGACGTAGGCAAATTGCCGAACCACGTATATCTCTGTGTTTGGTTTGATTTGTCGTAATTGGCTTGATTTGTGCAAGAGTGTGGCTTTCTTCTTCTGTGATCATAAGTTCGTTGTGTGTGCGTGCAACGCTTCCGCTTAGGCGCGCGACAAGTGATATCAGAGCTCAGATTTCAGATCTGGGGTTTTGGATTAGGTGGAGGAAGATTCAGTTGGAAGCTTGGTTCTTGGAGTTCTAGGCTTTGGTGGAGTTAGGGTTTGAAGTTGCCGTTGAAGATCTCGCTTTCCTCGTGTGGTTAGGAGTTCTATTTTGAATCCAATCTAGGGTTCAGTTGGGTAATTTCTTATTCTTTTCAAAGTTTGGATCTTTCTCTACAATTTGGAATTTGTGATTATGGGTGAAGAAGTTGGTGAAAGTAGCAAGATGACAGGCACAGTTCAAGTGGGTTTTCAGAACACTAAGATTAGTGCAGTGAAATATGACGGCAAGATCAATTTTGGTTTGTGGATGAGCGACGTACAGGATGCACTCAATGCTCAAAATCTAGAGGAGACCATCATGGTCAATGTGAGGCCACCTAAATATGAAGAGGCGATATGGGAAAAGATGAATCAAAATGCTTACGGGGTGATCAGGTCCTGTTTGGAACAGGAGCTGAAATACGATGTGATTGGGGTGACGTCTGCAATGAAGATGTGGGAGATTCTCAACAACAAGTATCTCACGAAGAGTGTTGAGAACAGGTTGCACTTGCTGCGAAGATTATTCAGATTTCAGATGTCCAGAGGCACCTCGCTTGCGGCTCATGTGAACAACTACACTAAGTTGTTGTCGGACTTAGCGAACGTGGATGAGAAGATCACAGATGAGTACAAGGCTATTATTCTTTTGGGCTCCTTACCGGATGAGGAGTATGATACCTTCGTGCTTACGTTGCTGAACGGGAGATCTTCTATCACTTATAGTGAAGTGACTAACGCATTGACGAACTATGATTTGAGGAGGAAGGATAAGGAGACTTCCCGCGCTAGTACTTCAGGAGAGGCCTTATCGACGAGAGGTAGAAGCTCATATCAGAAAGGTGGAAATAGAGGGAGGTCAAAGTCAAGAGGTCGTCACCAACTTAGAAAGAACCAATGTGCATTCTGCAAAGAGCAGAGACATTGGAAGAGAGATTGCCCAAAAGTCAAAGAAAAGGAGAATAGCAAGAATAAGGGTCCGAAGGCCAATGAGGTGAATGTTGCGAAAGGCGATGATTCCGATGATTCGAGCTTTTCTCTTTTGATTACTCCGGAGGTGAACCATTTGGATGCATCAGAGTGGATGCTTGATTCTGGCGCTACTTATCATGTGACTCCTAGGCGAGATTGGTTTTCATCATTTGAGAGACTCGACGGGGGTGTTGTTGTCATGGGAAATGATCAATCCTGTGGCGTTCGCGAGATAGGTACTGTGAGGATTCGGATTCATGATGGAGTAGTCCGTGAGTTGAAGGAGGTGAGATTCGTTCCTCAACTTAAGAAGAATCTTATCTCAGTTGGGGCTTTGGAGGCGAAGGGATTCAGGGTGACCTTTGAGGATGCTGTAGCAAAGGTTACTAAGGGATCTTTGGTGGTGATGAAGGGAGTCCGCAGTCATAATTTATACTATCTGAAGGGGAGCACCGAGATTGGCCAGGTTGCTTCGGCTATTTCAGAGGCGGACATGAGCAGACTTTGGCATTACAGGTTAAGGCACACAGGAGAGAAGTCACTGCAGGTTTTGTGCAAGTAGGGGCTATTGAAGGGAGCCAAGAGTGGAAAGATTAAGTTCTGTGAGCATTGTGTTCTTGACAAGAAGACGAAGGTGAAGTTCGGGACAGCCATTCATAGGACGAGGGGCATCTTGGACTACGTGCACACAGGTGTTTGGGGTCCCACCAAGACGTCATCACTTGGTGGTCGACATTGGTTCGTCACATTTATTGATGACTATTCTAGGCGTTGTTGGGTGTACACCATGAAGCATAAGAGTGAAGTCCTAGATTTGTTTGTGGAGTGGAAGAAGAGATTGGAACTGCAGACTGGGAGAAAGATCAAGACGTTGCGATCCGACAACGGCGGCGAGTATACCTCAGACCCCTTTCTGCAGCTATGTCGAGACGAGGGCATAGAGAGGCACTTCACAGTTAGTCATACACCGCAGCAGAATGGGGTGGCGGAGAGATTGAATCGGTCTTTGCTGGAGAAGATTCGATGTTTATTGGCGCATAGTGGTTTGGAGAAGATCTTTTGGGCTGAGGCACTTTCTTATGCGAGCCACCTCATTAACAGGCTGCCTTCATCTGCGATTGAGGGGAAGACCCCTATGGAGATGTGGTCGGGAGAGACAGCACATGACTATGACCAGCTTAAGGTATTTGGTTGCCCTGCATATTATCATGTTAGAACTGATAAGTTGGAACCTCGAGCTAGGAAGGCCATATTTGTAGGATTCAAGCGTGGTGTCAAGGGATACAAGCTTTGGGATCCAGTTGATAAGAAGATTGTGCTGAGTAGGGACGTCACATTCGATGAGGCTTCTATCTTGAAGTTTCTCAGCTCTCATCAGATGGAGAGCGACCTGACAGAGGAGATTTCGCAGGTGGTGGAGATTGATACAGCTCCACAGAGTCCAGATAGTGCAGTATCCATTAGAGTGCCGACTGAGGTGACGCCAGGCGAGCACGACGGTGATGCGGAGGATACGGGTACTCATGAGCAGGATCAGGGACCGACGGTTCAGGTTCAGGATTCTATTGCGGCACGGAGATAGAGGAGAGACATACAGGTGCCAGCACGGTATGCCGACACAGTTGCATATGCACTTCCGGTAGAGAGTATCGATGAGATGGTGCCTACTACATTCAGAGAGGCCGAGCAGAGTTCGGAGGCTGATTCGTGGCAGGTGGCTATGCAGGAGGAGATGGAGTCCCTTCATAAGAACGATACATGGAAGCTTGTAGAGCTTCCAAAGGGGCGGAAGGCGATTGGGTGCAAGTGGGTGTACACGAAGAAGGAGGGCATTGAGGGCACTCCAGTGAGGTTCAAGGCTAGGTTGGTTGCGAAGGGCTATGCACAGGAGGAAGGTATTGATTACAATGAGGTTTTCTCTCCGGTGGTGAAGCATTCGTCGATTCGGATTTTGCTAGCTTTGGTGGCACAGTATGGATTGGAGTTAGATCAGTTGGATGTGAAGACAGCATTTCTTCATGGTGATCTTGATGAAGAAATATATATGACTCAGCCATTGGGATTCCGAGCTGCAGGGAAAGATAAGTTGGTTTGCAGGCTAAAGAAATCGCTATACGGTTTGAAGCAGTCTCCTCGACAGTGGTATAGGCGATTCGATGGTTTTATGCTTGGTCATTCGTACACTAGGAGCCAGTTTGATCCTTGCGTGTATTTTCGCAAGTTGAGAGGAGGTGCGTACATTTATTTGTTGCTTTATGTCGATGACATATTGGTTGCCTCTAGTTCCAGGTCAGCTATAGATTAGTTGAAAGTTCAGATTTCGAATGAGTTTGAGATGAAGGATTTGGGCGAGGCGAAGCGCATTTTAGGGATGGAGATCGGCAGAGACAAGAAGAAGGGCAGGATTTGTTTGACACAGGTGGCTTATTTGAAGAAGGTTCTACACCGATTCCATGTTAGCATGGATACGAAGCCAGTTGGTGTACCGTTGGGAGCCCATTTGAAGCTTTCAGCTGGCCTCTCACCGAAGTTAGTTGAAGACCGTGAGTTGATGTCGAAGACTCTATGCGAGCGCAGTTGGGAGCTTGATGTACGCGATGGTATGTACGAGGCCGGATTTGTCACAGGCAGTGAGCATGGTGTCGAAATACATGCACGATCCAGGAGTGGGTCATTGGGATGCCGTGAGATGGATTTTGAGGTACATTCTAGGTACGCTCATTGTTGGTTTGGTTTATGAGCGGGACACTACAGGTGGGCAGCTATGCATTGGCTATGTTGATTTGGATTAGGTCGGAGATTTGGATAAGCGACGGTCTACGACGGGGTATGTGTTCACTTT